TATTTATTACTGTAAGTGGACGTAACTCATGGGCCCTCTGCATTATAAAGCATCTACATTAACATCATAATAGACAAAAACTGATCTTTTATTATCCTTATTATATATATTTTTTATCCTCATATCATCCGTTTGTTTCCTACTTTACCCATCAGATGTGCCAACAAACGACAGATTAAAGCCTGAACATGTTCTGGAAGCTTCTGTCCGACACACAAACTGCATCTGAGCCAAAGTGCAGGTTTACACTCAGTCACTTGTTTCCTCTTTGACAGATGCATTAATGCATTAATGACCCTCCGAGTGCAGATTCTGGCGGCACAGAGCGACGCTAATCCTCCACCATGAACCTAAAATCACGCCGTGCGTCACGGCTGCAGCGACGCTCGACGGTTCCTGACACGAACATCTGTTTCCCAAAAACCAGCCGTCCATTAAAGAGGAATTATTTGGTGGGATTATTCCAGAATAACAATCACATACGTCTTAAAGCAGCTTTGCCGTAACATTTCTATCACACAGACATTTGATTTTTTTTGCGGTTTTAACGTTATTCTGGACTGATCGTGCACCCTGGTGTTGCTCGTTTGTGTTGCTTTGTGGCCTCTGTTTGATTCCTAGATTCTGTTTGAGCCTCACAGGGCAGCCGATCCGGACGCCGCCGTCGCTCCACAAAGTGCTGCTCCAGCTTTTCTGGCCGGCACCACGCCTCCCGTCGGCGCTTTATTGGAAGTGACCTGCTGAGACTTTCCGCTGTTGTGTTCTGTTGTCTGGACGTGATGAACGCTCCCCTCTTCCTCTCTGCACCTTTGTGCACCAAAAGCTGCGCGATAAGGGAAATCCTCTGCTCTGATGAGCGAGCCGAGGAAATACCTTCCAGAACACACGGGACACTCGGCACACGGGTCACAAACATGTCAGCGAACGTCCGCTTTCATGTCCACATGGCTGCTCGTCTTCAGAATCAGGGTTTGTCGTTAAAAACGCCGTTAAAATCCTGCATGAAATCACTTCTAAGTTCTGTAATTGCGTCTCCCAGTTCTGTTATTAGCAGCCGGGCCGTTTAAAAAAAAAAAAAAAAGGCCCGGTTTTAAATCTGGACCTACAGAGCGGCTTAATCCTGAACCGCATTGTTCGCTTTTTATTTGAAAATCATGCACCGCCGTGTTTGTGTTGCTCACATTTTCATTTACTTTTGTAAGCTGCACTGTGATTGTGATTCGACTCGGTCCGGAAACAAAAAGGGCTCCAGGAATTCTAAACAGCCTCCCGAACCGCAGCCCGGCTAACAATGCAGCGGCGGCCATTAAAAACGCTGCTAATAGAAGCTGCATCCAGGAGATATTATTATTTTTCTCTCCTTCCACCTCGCAGTGTTTTCTTTGTGATTAACTCTGCAATGAGTCAATTACCTGCTTTTCCAAAAGCGCCGAAAACACAAACCGAGACGAGGAAGCGGCTCCGGTGACGTACCGTCGCTCCCTTCGTTCTTTAAAAAAAGGCCAAATTGCATCATTATTAAGCGCAATTACGGGAATAAAAAATGTGTTTTCTTGCAGGTCATTTGTTTGCTTCTGCGTCTATTTTAGGATAATTGCAGATAAACGGTTCCTTTCTGATAAATGTTGAACAACCGGCTCACTGAGAACCTTTCAGAAACACATACGAGTGCAAACGTTGGTCTGAAACTTCTCCTTGAGTGATGGGAAAGCAGAATCTACAGACGCCTCCTAAACCTGCGTCCCTGTTAATGAGGTCACCTTTGCAGAAGGTGGTTCCGTCGCCGGTGTATCCGTGGTTGCAGAAGCAGGCGCTGTTGGATCCATTCAGGGCCTTGCAGGTCGCCAGCGGGTGGCAGGAGTCACAGATGTCAGAGAGGCTGCACGGGTCCATGAGACTGGAGAGCCATGCTGAAGACACACAGAGCAGAACATTAGTGATGCCAACCAGGGAAACATCTGCACATCTTCTAACAGGAACAGCTTCAGCAACAGAATCCACTCAAATACAAACACAACAACACAAGCAGCCTTGGAAATAAATATTAGACCACTGTGGGCTTTGATTTCTGTCTCTTTCTTTGCTGGAACGATGCTATAATTTCATATTAATGTTGTTATAAATAGCTGCTTTGATGGTTCCAAGCCAGTTAGCATTAGCTCGCTAGCAAGATGGCTGACGGAGCGCTTTTTTTTTTTCCTGGTCATTTTTGGTTTTAAAAAAGCAAGATTGACAAGATGCCAAGTTTTCTACTTTATTCATTTTAAAACTTTTACTTTTTTTTTTAATTTTTATTGTTAACGACTTGTTGCCTTGATTTTGGTTTAAAATGGAAAATCAAAAATGGGATTCTGCCAAACAGGGAGAAAAAAAAAAAAGCAAGCTGAGTTTCTACTTAATAAATAAATAAATAAATGAATAAATAAATATTATTATTATTGTTTTTAAAAATTCTTTTATTGAAAAAACTGAAAAAAAACAAAAACAAAAAAAGCCGAGTTTCTACTTTAAAAAATGTTACCAAAAAATTGGAAACAGGAAAAAAAAACAAAAAAACAAACAACCTGAGTTTCTACTCTAAATTAGATTTTCATTGTTAATGGACACTGAAAAAAAAAGGAAAAAAATAGGCTTGTTTTAAAAAATGTAAACATTAAAAACAGAATTACATCGAACCAAAAAACATCTCACTTTGTTAAATTAGATTTTCATTGTAAAAGGATATTGGGAAAAAGAGGGAAAATGCTCTTTTTTCTCGTATTTGGTTCAAAACAACAAATGTGATTTCACCAAACCAAGAAACAAACTGTGGTTTCCATTAACAAAGGGTGAATAAACAGGAAACATCGTCCAGTTTAAAACAACAACAACAACAACAACAAACCTGTTATCTTGATTTGTCATTTTTGCTATTTTACAGAAAACCTGATTTTACTTTAGTTCCTAAACAACCTTCTTTCTCATCCTACAGTCGTCTTCATGTCGTCATGTTTGACAGATAATACTTTACATAACCGGCACAAACTCACGGCAAGAAGAAGCTGTAATTATTAATAAAACTCTATCAGCCTTATGGAGGCCTGTTGTGTCGAAGCAGCTGGTTTAACAATAACTTCCAAAGCTGATGCACAAAAATCCACCATAAGTACTGAAAACATGTGAAAACATCAACCACAGACTCTAAGTTGAGTAGAAATGTTGCGTCAGGTCCAGCTACGCCTCCTTCACACACAATCTGAGCTAAAATATAAACCTCATCCACACCAACACACGTACAGCAGCCACCAGGCCAAACACCTGCGTGAAGAAAAGCCCACGTACCTGTCAAAAGTACGAGTTTCATTGGTGACCGGAGCAGAGACTCCATACCGGCGCTGAGCCTGGACTCTACTTCCAGCTCGACTGCGGGGGGCTGGCTGCTGCTGACGTACTGCGTTTCCTTGCATCAGGTTTCCTGTTTGCCTAAACCTGGCCCTTCCTGTGCTGATCTTTAATCTGCTCTCAGGAACAGGCAGCAGGTCCGTCCAGCCTCCGGCACGTCGGGCCTCGCTTTACCCCCGACACAAAAGCACCCCGAGCATCTTTCAGACACTTTTTATTGGCCGAACCGTAGACGCTGCGAGCCGTGTTGCTGCTCTGGAGGCCAGCGGGCCATTGTTCTCCCCAGAACCCCAACAGCAGGCCGAGTAAACAGGCCAGAACAACAGCGGCTCGGCTGAAGGACGGCCGCCTCCCTTCCGCTCACAAGTGTACACAAAACCAGCGACACATTCCAGCAGAGACCATCTCAGAGTCCTCCAGGATGAGCTCCTGACAGCCAACAAGGCTCTGAATGAGGTTTAGAACGTGAGAGAAGCCGATGGTGGAGGGCAGAGTTCGATCTATGTGGGTTTACTGGTGGTATGTTACTGGAAAGGAAAACTGAGAGGAAGGAAATGTTGGTTTTTATTCTCATCAGTCTTCAAAGTCTTACTGAAATTCATTGATTCTTTGTCCGAAGTGTTTTTCCACCATGTTGTGTTTATAAAGAGCTGCTGAAAGGCTGCAGACTGGAAGAAAGAGTCTTTAAAAACAGGAAAACAAACCATGTATAAAAATATTATAACTTATTGATGTGGATATTATCTACAGTTTGTTTATTTGTACTTTCTGTGATTTTTTGTTTTGTTATTTTCTGTAATTTAACAAAACAGGGAAAATCCAAAATTCAACAGTCACTGCTTAACTTACGTAATTTTTCTTCTTTCAAATAACAACAGATGTCTTTAAAATGGCTTTTTTCTGATTTAAAAAAGTAAAAACATTAATTTTCTTATCAAATATCCTATTACCATTTATAAAAACACAGATTAATTTTTGTTTTTTACATTAACATGCAGATCAACTGTTTCTTCCTGTGATTTTAAAAGATAGTATTTGTAATATTTAGCTTAAACAATGGTTTAAACAACATGTTACAACAATGACGTACCTTTAAAAAAAACAAACCCTAATATACATATTTTTTTTCTTCCAAATAACAACAAAAATATGTAAAAGAACAAGAGTGTCATTTTACAATCAAATGTTGTAAAAAATAAAAAACAAAACAAAAACATTCAAACCGTACTTTTAAAAACAGATTTTTAAAAAAATTTTTTTGATTCATTTATTTATTTTACATTTTTGCCCTTTTTTTGATGGTTAACATTAAAACTTGTATTATTCTTATTATTCTTATTCTTATTATTGTTATTATTATTATTATTGTTATTATTATTTTATTCAATAATATCTGTAATTTAACAAAACAGGAAAAAATCCAAGATTCAGCAGTTAAACATTTTTTACTTTTTTTATTTAGTGCTTCATTCATGTATTTTTTCTTTCAAATAACAGCAAATGTGTTAAAAACAAGTTGCTGATTAAATAAAGTAAAACTGTAATTTTCCTATTAAATGTATTGCCATTTGTAAAAATACACTATTATTATTTTTTTTACATTAACATGCAAATTAATAATAATAGTAGTTAGTAGTTTGTTTGCTTTGATGGTTAACATTAAACATTAAAACTTTTATCATTATTGTATTAGTTATTATCTGTAATTTAACAAAACAGGGAAAAGTCTGTAAAGTATCAGGTTATAATATTATTTACCATTTTTCAACCCTTAACGTACATAATACAAAATTTTCTTTCAAATAAATAAATTATTGTCGTGTAGTTTTGCACTTAAACACTGTAAAAGAATAAAGTACTATCTGTAAAAAAAAAATTTTTTTTTTTTAAGGTTAACATGCAAAATAAAAACTTCTTCCTTGTGATTTTTGTAGTTTTAAATTTAACAAAACAGTAAAAATCTGGCGTCAGAAAACAAACATTAAGAAACTGTGCATTTACACGAAACTGTAAAAAATGGTGATAATGACGGCACACGTGTAAAATAAGAAGTTTTCTTTTGGCATATTTAAACACAATCAAAGCTGTGTAATTTTACGGCCAAGCATGACGAATAATTCACCATTTTTCAGACCTTGTTAACACTTCCATTCCTGCTCCAACGGGCTCATTTTTTACAGTGCGCCGCTGCCCATTGTTGGAGCTTCCTCTAAACTCCGTCCACAGTAATTGAGGTATTGTAGAAAACGGCTTCATAAACAGAATTTTTCGAGGCTCTTTGTGCCGCGGCTACAGTTTGCGTGTGTCTTTGAAGATAAGAGATAAAGCGGCACATTTTTATTTTCGGTTCTGTGACATCTGTCATGGACTAATGATCCCATTCTTGTGGGAGGGAAGCGAGCAGGGCTGAGCTGCATTCAGCGCCAGCAGCCCACTGACCGCCACAAAACAAAGTTCTTCATCTGCGCCACCAGAAGGCCGCCGCCGCTCGCTCGCTTCACATGCAGATATTTACAGCGCTGCCTTTCAGCCACGCCCGTGAATATCAATAGTTTGTGAAAAAGGTAGAATTTAACCACAAAACAGGTGAATGCAGCTGCGAGGCGGCGACAATAGCGAGAAAGGTGAAGTGTCCATTCAGGTGTAACTGAGGTCCTTTCAGACTTCCCTCTACTTCATGGCGCACAAACACATTCACCGATGAATGGTTTCGCTCGGAAGATAAGTTCTTTGTTGACTGTATTGCAATCTGTGGAGGCGGTTTGAATTGCTTAGGCAAGGCGTTCACTTTTATTGCTGAGAACGGCAGCTGCTTTGAATGACACCATTAGAATTGCTCCTGCATTACTGTCCTGGGAAAGTGCTCGGTGAAAACCACGTCTGAATGTCTCGCTCTGACACTCCGCTAACACTGAGGAAGGAAGCGACGTTGCCTCGAACAAACCTGGACTGATTGCAGCCTTCCTCCTCCTCCTCCTCCTCCTTTTTGTCTCAGGAAATCTCTCTTTTAGCGTAAAAAGCCCACAGGAGCTTTGCTTTTGGCTGCACAATGACATTGTAGGAAAAGACACCTAAGAGAAAAGAGTGTGTGGAGGCAGTCTTGTGTGAATGTTTCCTCTCATGGATATGGAAATGCCGAGGCTACAATTGCAAAAAAAAATTTTTGCGTGGCTTTCTGTTTACGCCATTCAGCCGATATAGAGATTTGTAGCGGTGAGTGCGGTGGAGAATCTGTGTTGACACGTCTCACCCAGATCTGTTGTGATGCCGGCCTTCTGCTCGGCCACCGCGGCAGGACGCAGATGGCAGCAGCCGTCTCAGAAACCTCCTGAATATTTCAGAGACAAAGTCGTCTTCGGCCTCAGAGACGCCAGCTGCCGATGGTCCGGTACCGACAGGTGTAGGTGGAAACACCTGCAGGTCCAACAGGAGTTAAAGGGAGGGAGCTCAGTTTTTAGAAAATGAAGTCTTGTCATTTTTGTTGGTCAGCTTTTGGTCTGAGGACGATAAGAGGATCAGAAACATCCTCTCACAGAGTCGACACAGTTTCACGAAACAGGAAACCTTAAAGGTCATTTTTATCAACAAAGGTGTCGAACTAAACTTTGAGAGCAAAAACGTCCTGAGCTTAGTGAAGTGGAGAGGAGCACCTACAGGACTGCTGCAGGAGAAAGCAAACAAACAAACATGACAGTGGAACAAACTAACGGGTAAAACAGGATATGTTCAAGAAAGCCTGAGAAAGAAAATGGAAAGTTGTCTGAACAAGGAACATCTGGATGGAAACCACTGCAGGTCAATGAGAAGAAATATAATCGTAGTAGAAGTTAACAAGAGAGGCCAGAAAAACATCTCCAGCCTGGAAATACCTGAAATAATTAATATACAAGGATTAATTTTTTTTCATTCTTATTATTATTCTATTTTTTAAAAAAGTTAAAATAATTATTCATATTATTTGTATAATTTTTCAACTACAATTTTTCTTAAACCATTTACTGTTATTTTTACAGATTTTTCCTGCTTTACTGAATTACAAATGACAGTAAAATAACAATAAAAATCAGTAAATTATTACTTTCTTCAGCCCAAAACTTTAAATAATGTCCACATAAAAAGATTAAATAAAAAAAAATCTGTATTTTTCTTTTTGCAAAATGCAGTTTATTCTTTCTGATTTACATGTTGTTAACTTTGACCTTTCAGGCCGTTTACTTAATAAGAACTTTGAGAAAAAAAATCCTGCAAACAGCTGAAAGCAACAAACAAACCTTCATGTTTAACCTGTTCAGGACTTTTATTACAAAGAAGGTCTTTCAAGAAAGAATACATGCAAAATATGTTCATGTTAATGTGTTAAGTTGACGTATATTTTGGTTCCAAATGATGACAAATGTAAATAAAATATTAATACCTGTCAGCTAAACCAAATGGCCAGTGGGGTCCAAAAGACCCCAAGTTGTGGCTCAATCTAGAGAATTTAACCAGTTACAGACTGAACCTCATTAAAATCACACTTTAATGAACAGTTTAGGTTGAAATCGGCACGAACCTGTCGAGGAAAGTCACTCAGGATCGTTTCAGGGTCTCGTTTGCCTTCATGCTGTTTGTAATAAACGGAGGAAAGAAGAAGGATTCGAGGCCTTTATTGGTCACAAACACAGTTATACACGGTTTAAGTGAAACGCTTAGTGCACCTGTTCAACAATATTAAACAGATGAATAAGAATAAAACACACAAGAAATAAATATATATATAGAGAGAGACAGAGAGAAAGGGATAAAAAAAAATAAGCAAAAGTAAATAAATAACATTTTCAAACAGTGCAAAAAGAGGTAAAATAAATAAAGAAACTAATAATATTATATACATGTGTGTATATACACAAAGTGCAAAGTGAGCGGTTGGATTGTTATTGAGTCGATTGTTTGAGGTTCAGCAGGCGGAGGGCAGAAGCTCCTCCTCATCCTCTGCAGGAAACGTCTGGAAGCAACAAACACACACCTTCAGAAAACCTAGATTACACTCCGGGGCAGGACCTCCGAAGACCAAACCTCATCACA